GTGTGTGAATGTGTGTGTGAATGGGTGAATGACTGAATGTAGTGTGAAGCGCTTTGGGGTCCTTAGGGACTAGAAAAGCGCTATACAAATGCAGGCCATTTACCATACCTGTTTTTTTTAATCTATAATATAAACCCACCCACCTGTCCACACACACACACACACACACAGTATCTCTAATCCATCAGATCAGCTCAGCTCCTGTCAGCAGGTCTGATGAGAGGGGTCTGGGTTGAACTTTCAAAATAAGAGCAGCAGCACTGTAAGTAGAAATCTGCTACGAGTGGCATGGCTTTTTTTTTGCAGTGAACTGAACAGAGTTACCATGGCAACCTGCTCAAGTAAGGTCCATGTGTGACCATATGTCAAAGCGACGAACAGGAAGTGTGACACTCAGGTCTATGCACAAACACAGAGAGGTACAGGAAGTGAAGTGGAGAATAAATTAGATGAATCTGTTTTATTTTGAATCTGTGCAGCTGACGTGTTGGCTACGACACGGAACCAGGAGTCCACCGCCGACTCCGCCTACGGTAAGAAACCTTTCTTCTTCTGTTGTTAGTGTTGATCAGAGGGCTGTGGGTCCTCACAGTGACCGTATAAACATGACCTTTTGTTACCTACATATGCAAGCGGATTAAAGGTGTGTGTAAGGACAGGCCACAGGCCACAATATGAGCAAATACGTCCTGTTACCTTCTGCTTCTGACACTAATGAAGGTCCAAGCACTGGATGACTTTAAGATTATTCAGATGGGAGTTTGAGTTAAAACGTCTGTCAGCGAGCATGGAACCTGGAGGACGTGACTCTGAGGAACGTCGTCATCTGCTAACGAGCTCCGGCTTGACCGTTGACGTACAGTAGCTCGTCGCGCGGTTTGACATCATTACCCTCGCTAGTTCCCAGCCCCACAGATCAAACGCAGCTGCCTGCTCTGTATTCAGGCTGCAGCTCGGCTGCTACCTGCCTGTCAGGAGTCCTGCTGGGAAGCCGGCTGGCGTATTGTCATTCAGAGCGCCGGCAGACCCACGCAGTGAATCCATTAAGGCTCCCGGAGCTGCATTACTGTGATTAAAGCCGGAGAGGGGACAGGCGTGAACGTCGCTGATAGGCGCTCTACTTGACACCAGCCGACTTCGTCTTTCAGGAGTTCGTCGAGTGTTCTCGAGAGGCGGCGGCACGTCAGCAGCCACAATAGCAGTGATGAAATGGAGAAAGGTGAACGGAGCGGGTCACCGTGCTGCGAAGGGGAATCAGGAGGAAGTGAGGAGATGAAGGAACGCATAGTAAAACATCACAGACGTAATCAGGTCTGACAGGCCGGCTGAGCTCCTGTAGGCCACGCCCTGTAAGCGACTGCAAGCCACTTTGGAGCCCACCTCCACCCCAGCTGTGCTCATGATGTCACTGTTTGATGGCTGTGATATGTGACTGAGTTATCACCTGCGTGAGTGTGTGTGTGCATGGAGCTGATATTAACATGTATGAGCCATGTGTGAGTCTCCAGTGGGAACTTTTCCTTGTTCACACGTCAGCCTCGGCGTGTCCTGTTTGTCGAGTGAAGCTGTGTTTGACATCAGGACCTCGAGTGTGACGAGCAGCATGTGAAACGTCGGTTTTTCTGAGCTGCATCCATGTGTGTGATGTTTGTGAACGCAGCAGTGCGAGCGTGATGCTGTGTGCACGCCGGCTGCGCTCAGGTGTTTGTGCACTTCAGCTCCGCCCCTCATTTGCCTCGTAAATCGGTGAAACGGCAGCAGGAAGCGAGCATAAAGCCGCAGCCTGCAGTCATGTACACGCCGGGTTAGAGAACAAAGACTTCCCCGTAATCAATACCCGTGTGCAGGCGATTAGCCCCGACTGACTGAAATGATTGCAGACGTAGCAGATGCGAAGCAGTGGGGACGCTCCGACGTGCTCGCAGGGATTCGTCTCCTGACTCGAGCTAATCGTATCGTCATTAACTCTCCTTTCAGTTTCAGGGTTTATTGATGCCTGCGGGGATCGCACCGCAGCTCGATAAAGATGCAGCGTGACTCTGTCCGTGCTCGGCGCCGCACCCGTTTTTCACACTCAGTGTGGAGCTCTGATTGTAAGAGAGCTGCTGCTGCTGCCCTGGTGGCCTGATAGCAGGCACCTCCTTCATAATGGCGTCTGAACCATTAACTTCCTGGTGTCGGGCAGCCGGGTGTGAAGGACTCAGACAACAATGAATGAGTGATGTTTGAGCACACGTTCATCCACAGTGCCACGCTAGAGTGGCTGTCGTTACTGTAATGACATCGTTTTGCAGGGAACGGTTCCCATAACGACGTTTTCTCTGCAAATTGGTTCTTTAATGCCGTGCGACGCAGCCCCGTGGACTCGCTGTGGACTCGCTGTGGACTCGCTGCACTGAGATTGGCCTCATGCAGCAGTGCGCTCTTTTCATTAGAGGAGCGCCGGTGTTCTGGGAATCCATCCTACCTGACAAACCATCCTACCCGTTGTTTCTGCGCATGCGCACAACACGAAATGAAGTGCCAAACCATCCTACCTTTGTGAATGTGAGCTACAAGCATACTCTGATGGGCAACGTTAACCGTCATACCTACTTAAATTGTGCTGGAATTGCTCTGTGACAGCAGAAATGTGCATAAACTACTTACGGTAGGACGATTTGTCAGAACACCGGCGCTGTGAGTCGTGCAGACGCCGGTGCTTCCTGGGTGACGTGACTGCGGTTTGTGCGCGTTCCTGATCGTAGGATGGCCGATCCAGGAAATGAAGTTTGTGCTGTTAGCGTGGGTCCGACAGACCAAGCTCCGGTCGGAGCTCACACGCCTGTCAGACCGACAGGCGTCACGGATGATGATGTAAAACCACGAGAACGATCATCAAACTTCTCAGCTGCTGGTTTGCGATGTCAGTTTGTCCTGCTGACGGGACACGCGTGAACTCGTCCTCACCGAGAAGCGAGCGCCGCGATCGGCCGCGGACCCAAGCGGTCTGAGGGGGTTTGTGCTGCCGCGGGGAGGAGATGGCGTCCGGCATTCTTCCATCTTTTTAATGACATGAAAGTGAGCGCTGACATTTAAAGGACGCTCGCAGCTCTGACCTGTTCAGTGTCTTATGGTGACATTTGTTTGAAGGTTTGTCAGAGATATCTCAGAATCACTTCTCTGATCCTCCAACTGCATCAGTGGCTCCCAACAAAGACTGTATATAAAAGATGGAGGCTCACCTGCAGCTCTAACGCCTGCCTCCTGGCTCCTCCCTGTATCTGAAACCTCGCAATACGCCCCCACATCAAGCTGCGCCTGTAGCATGTCAGCTTCTTAGGACGGAATGGACGAATAGTACTCACGGTATTCAGGTACTCAGTACTCACAGTACTCTCAGTACTCACAGTACTCACTGTAACCCCAAATTGCTCTCCGATGCATCCACCGGAGTATGAATGTGGGTGAATGCACAAGTTGTGTAAAGCAATTTGATGCTCAGAAGAGTAGAAAAGCGCTATATAAGAACCAGTCCATTTACTCAGGTACTCAGTACTCACAGTACTCGCACTTCTCTCAGTACTCAGTACTCTGAGTACTCTACCTGGTGCTGTGAGTTTCTTCAGCAGTCTGTCTCTGTGAGATCCGCAGAGCTCGCGGCGCTCACCTTAACCTGTTGCAGCTGATCATGTGACATCTGTTAGCAGGGGCGGGGCCTCGAGCTGTCTGCTCAGGGGTCACATTCATATCACCATAGCAACGCTGTTAGTGATCACACACACACTTTCAGCCTGCATCGCTGCTGTAGCTCACAGGAGCGTGGGAGGTTGTTGTTATTGGGAGCTGCTGTTACTGTGTGTGTGTGTGTGTGTGTGTGTGTGTGTGTGTGTGTGTGTGTGTGTGTGTGTGCGCGCATGGTGGGGGGGGTGCACCTCCCCGCCGGCGAGCCTCAAGGTTTACGAGGACGCTCTGAGACGTGTGACCTGTAGTTTAGCTGCAGACTTTGTTGTGCGTGTCGTGTTGCAGCTCAGGACGGCATGAACGAGCACCGCCTTTATCTCTGTGGTAGAAAGCAGTAGCCTCGCCACACGCCCTCCAGAAGAGACGACATCCTAATTACAGTGTGTGCGCCGACGACACCGAGCGTGTGATTACAGCGGCGCGCTGACGGCTCCAGCGCACAAAAACAAAAGCGTGTGTGTCGCCTAAAGTGTGAAGCGTGTGTGATCATGTGTTTGCCAAATGCTTTGGCGAGAGCGTTTGTATCTCAGAGTGTGTGAGAGCAGGAAAAAGAGCCGTCACAGTGTGTTAAAGTGCTTTTTAATGAGCTGGAGCTCTTACAAATGGACTGAGCGTGTCGTGTGGCTCACGCTGAAAAGGCGGCGATGAGAGCTGTTAGGAAACAGCCAGAAGCTGTTGTGTTGACGCTAATTGTCTTCATTTTCTCCGACTGAAAGCAGCTTCGCTGGACAGATTTCAGGCGGCCGCTTGTTGCTAACGAGCGCCCGCCTTCTTCAAGTGATGGCGCTGATGGCGCTGATAGCTTTGACGCTTTCAGCTCTCAGAACAGGAAGTGACAGGGAGAGTGAGACAGGGGGTGAGCTCTGTGTGTGATGGTGCTGGGTGTCTCCACCCTGCAGTGGCTCTGGTGCTTAGACATGGTCACAGGTGAGGGGAGGAGCAGAGTGTGATGGTGACAGCGTCACTTAAACCAGCCTTCGCCCCAAAAACGTATGCTGGAGTTTTCCTCCCCACTGTCGCCAAGCGCTTGCTGGCCTGTTATGGTGCAATTGTTGGGGTTTCCCTGTGTTATTCCAGGGGCTCTACCTTACAGTACAAAGCAGCCTGAGGCAGGCGTCATCATGGAGAAGTGATGGAACTGTGTCACAGCGGGGACACAGCGGGGACACAAGGAAACACAGCGGGGACACAGCGGGGACACAAGGAAACACAGGGGGGACACAGCGGGGACACAAGGAAACACAGCGAGGACACAGGGAAACACAGCGGGGACACAGGGACACAGAGGGGACACAGGGAAACACAGAGGGGACACAGAGGGGACACAGGGGACACAGCGGGGACACAGGAGGACACAGGGAAACACAGCGGGGACACAGGGAAACACAGCGAGGACACAGGGAAACACAGCGGGAACACAGGGAAACACAGCGGGGACACAGAGGGGACAGCGGGGACACAAGGAAACACAGCGAGGACACAGGGACACAGAGGGGACACAGGGAAACACAGCGGGGGACACAAGGAAACACAGCGAGGACACAGGGAAACACAGCGGGGACACAGGGACACAGAGGGGACACAGGGAAACACAGCGGGGACACAGGGGACACAGCGGGGACACAGCGGGGACACAAGGAAACACAGCGAGGACACAGCAGGGACACAGAGGGGACACAGGGAAACACAGCGGGGACACAGAGGGGACACAGGGAAACACAGAGGGGACACAGGGAAACACAGCGGGGACACAGGAGGACACAGGGAAACACAGCGGGGACACAGGGAAACACAGCGGGGACACAGCGGG